ATCTGAACCCTGGCGGGGCGCTGCCGGGCTTGGCAACGGTTGCAAAACTCTTTCAAAACGCACGTTTACAGGCAAGCAGCGGGGCTGATGCGGGAAGAGGGCACGACAGGGTTTGTCAGGATGCGGTTTGAGATGTTTCACAGCGGGTTTTAACCCAGGATTGTGACGGGACACGCGTTGTGGTTGCTGGACATGGTTTTAGCTTGGGGAAGCCTGGGGAACCCGCTCTGAGCCCTGGCCCCTGAACACCTTTGAGCATCATCAGACCAGAGATGCTCCGGCTGCGACCTGGGGCAGCCGAAGAGGTTTTCCCATCCTGAAGCTGCAGGGAAAAGGATTTCCCTGTCCTTTGGCTCGAGCCAAAAAAAACTCGCACACGCCTCAGCTGTAGCAAACAGCTACAAACTCAGCTGCTTGGCCAGCACCAACTCAGTCCAGCCCAAAGGGAGCCCGGAGCCAGCTCTGCTGCCCGTGCAAGCGCGGCGCAACCTCTGCAGGGTGCTGGACCTTCCCCAAGCTCTCCCGGAGCTCTGGCAGGTTGCACGGGACGGATCTGGCCGTTGCTCTTGTCCTTCCTGCATGTGCTACGACATGCAAAGTGTTGCTCTTGTGCTGGGGCGGGTGCCTGTTCAGCCCCATGGCACAGCAATACCCAGGTGGTGAGAAAACGAGCTGGATTACAGCATATTTAATTTAGAGCCCAGAAATGGTTTGTTGGTGCTGCCAGACATCTCCCAGATGGCTCAGGCAAAGCACAAGATCTTTGTGTCCTGCTTGGTTGAGAATGTTTTACTGGTGGAAACCTCCGAGATGGAAACCATCCGGGTGTTTCGTCTTGGCTGGGTAGCGAGTGATTCAGCAGGGCTGGGAGGGAGCACTCCGGGATGACTTGCCTGTGTGGGAAAACTCTGAAATTTGAGTTTTCATTGGGATTTAGGGAGAAAATTTTAAATCTCGGAATTTCCCACGGCCTAGGAGCTATATATATACAAATAGTAACTTCTGCATGTATTTTTTTTCTGCCCCTCCCCAAAGAGCATCCTGGCTTTTTCTTGTGGTAAAGGGCTGTGTCCTGCTGTGGACTGCTTTAGTCACGGGTATTAACGCATTTTTTCCTGCTCGTGGTGGATTCTGCGTCGCCCTGATGCAGCCAGTGCCTGCCCTCCCCACCCATGAGAAGGATGCGAAAGGAAGTGCCGAGATAGGAAGGACTCGGTGAACTTCAAGCGATGCTTTATTGTTTCACAAACGTGAGCGATCCAAATAGGCAGAAAGCAGCAAGAACCCAATTCCTATGAGCCACCCCCTCTGATTTTTGACGTGCGTTGAGATTTAATCCTTGTCGGGTGTGCAACGGTCCTCTGAATGGGAGATGTGATGAGCATCGTTGGTCAGCTTGGCCAAGACGATGGTGAACTCCTCAAAGCTCAGCTCCTTGTCCTTATTCAGGTCTGTCTCTTTGAAGAGCTGATTCAGGTAGCCACGGCGGCCCCTGTCCTGAAATTGGGGAACAGAAGGTGTTAGCATTCCCCCCTCCCTGGATTGCAAACCCACTGGTGGGAACTGAGCCAGCTTTATCCTTGCATGCCCTGGGAAGTGTTTGGAAGCTACAGGATTGTTGCAACCCTCACCTGCCTTGCTGTGAGCCCCCAGTTAATCATAGAATCAGTTGGATTGGAAGGGACGGAAGGAGGGTAGATTTAGATCAGATATTAGGAAGAAATTCTCTACGGTGAGGGTGATGAAGCACTGGAACAGGTTGCCCAAGGAAGTTGTGGGTGCCCCATCCCTAGAGGTGTTCAGGACCAGGTTGGACAGGGCAACTTGGGCTGGTGGGAGAAATGCCCACAGCAGGGGGGTTGGAATGAGATGATCTTCAAGGTCCCTTCCAACCTCAACCATTCTATGATCTTAAAAGCCCACATGGACACTCGGAGCACAAAAGACCACTCTGTGGATCACAGCCATGGTGGGCACCATGCCCGATCTCCCCAGGAGCATCCCTCGAGGCATCCTCAGCCTCGTTCCCTCCCCGAGGAGAGCCATCCCTCCGAGGAGCATGACACAGCTCCTCTGGCACTCACGCAAGCTTGCAGGAAGGTCGGCGCCTGCTCAGTCAGCAGAGTCTTGAAGTCGTCGAAGTTGAGGAGGTCGAAATCACCCTGCCGGATGCTGTAACGGTGGAAGACATTCACGACAGTTTCCAGGGCCCTCTCCAGTGTGCAGTTTCCAGGGAACTGCGGAGTCCCAGGGGCGGTGGATGCAGCGCGGGTGCTTACGGACATGGCTGAGCTCTCGCGGTACCTGCAGAAAGTACGGGGAGAAACCTCAAAGCTTAAAGGCAAGGAGCAAAGTCCAGGTACAGGCTCCACTGCCTGACCCTCCTCCTCCTCTCTCTCTCTGTGAATCTCCCTCTCCTCTTTGGGTTCCAAACACAGCACAGAGACCCTGCTCTCTGCTGAGTGTCACTGTGGAGATGACACCCCAGAGTGTTCTCTCCTTGCTGCTGGAAACAACCACCAGTAAAAATGGTGCCCAAACAGTGTCAATTTATACTTGCAGCAAAACCCAGCCTCCAGCCCTGCCCTGAGCAGAAAGCATCACCCTGGATTTAAACAGGCACGGCACAAAGTGCTGTGTTCAAAACTGCTTATCCCTCATCGCAATTCCTCCAAGAACCATTGCCGTGTGACTTACCCTGGTCTCCAAGGAAGGTTTGCAGAGGATGGGTCTGTTGCAGTGATTCAAGAGCCTGGGCAGCCCTTTTATATACCTCTCCGAGGTCCTCTTTCATCAGAGATGAGGTGACACACCTGCTGCAAGCAACGGCTTGAGTTAGGACTTCCCGGACCTGGAAATTGCAAGGTGGGAACTTCTTGAACCTCTCCCCACCTCATACCTCCGCACATAGTTCCTGGTTGCACCCACTGGGCTGCGGGAAATGCTGTCCTTCCACCCCACCGTCACCTCCGACGGGGCTGAGCCGCTCGTGCACCGGCCAAAGAATGGGAAAAACGCTGGGCGTCCCCTCACACCTTCAATGGGAGCCGCGAAGGGCAAGACCGCTTTGGCAGAACTTGCAAAAAATTTACACGTTTTCCAATGTGAAAATTTTCACAATGGTGTAGGAGAAAGACGTTTGAGAGACACAAATAACTTTTTCCCTTGGATTTTTTTAACACGATCTCTCGGTTTTCTGCAATATCAACAGGTTGAACGCTAGCAAAGGTGAAGGCGGGATCTGCCTTTCAATCCCTTGTTTTCCAGACTGTTTTCCCTTGCTTTCTATTTTCGCATAATCTTTGTGGAGGAAGCTTTGACTAAAGCAAGAAGAAAATCAGAGGTCAGGGTCTTTACCGCCTGGAGAATTAACTAGCAAATGTTTTGCAACTGTCACCTCTGCGTCACCCATCTTGCGTTAGCAGGACAGGTTAATAGCAGAATGAAGACACTTGAAAAAGTAAAAATTAGACAATAAGTTCCAGGAAGAGGGAAGGCACACAAAAACAAAAGGGTAATCATTCCTGTTCGAGGATTCTTCTTGCATGTCCTGGGGGCAATATCAAGAACTGTTGCATGAGTTTTATTCTGGTATCCCTGACTCACTCGATTGTATTTTGGGGATTTATTTTTTCTTTTTCTGTTTCCTGATCTACTCATTAGGGCCTGTCAACAACTGGAATTTGCATCCTCGTTCCCCAGCTGGCCTTGCAAAGCATCAGCCAAGGCTGGGTTTTGCCCCTTGCACCTGCATCACCCCAACGCAGACAGACCTATGGGCTCTCGATTCCCCTCTTTCCCAGATGTGTCCCCCAAAATCTGCAGATTGGGCAGCTCCCAATGCCCAGGTGACACCTGGCTGCCCTGGCAGGACACTAATGTCTGTCTCTGGGGTACAAGAGCTGCAACGGCAAAATTGAGACTAATCCCCCGTGTCATCGAGCACAAAGAGCCCCACAAGAGCCCCACAAGAGCCCCGCGCTTCCTTTCGCGGCTCTGTTTCGGGCTTCTGGTTTCAGCTGATGATGGAAATGTTGGAGCCTCCTGAGCCTTATGGTTTCCCACCCCATCACTGGCACCTCCAGAAGCTCTTTTCCACTTGTGTGTCTGTTTCCTGTAGTGGCTTGTAAATGTGCTGTGACCTGGCAGGGGGGGCCTCTTGCCCCACCCTAACCAAAACGTACAACTCTTGAGAGTTAAGAGCAGCTCTCTCAACCTACCCGGCTGCGTTCTTTACTACGTTGGGGCTTCCAAGATAAGCTCTGGTGGCTAGGCATGTTGCAAAAAATTTGCACACACTTTCCGCCGTGATGCTGCACCCCCAGGTCTAGGGCTGGGTCGTAGCAACCACCCTGGGGAAGCAGCCCCTGGTTTTGCTTCAGCCCTGGAGCTGGTGCAAAGAGGGACCAGGAGAACCAGGGCTGAGGACACCAGCTGCCCCTCCTCAGCGCGATGGGGTGCAATGCACCTCGCTGAGAAGGGTGCTGAGGTCCAGCCACCCCATGTGTGGAACCTGCCTCAGGAAAGCAGTGGGAGCACGTTGGGGTTGGATGTGGTTCAGGACAAGGAGCCCACCCAGCCTGGATTGCTCAGCTGGGACCCAGCACAGCAGGTTATCCTGGTTGTTCTGCCCCCGATGCCACCTTCCCTTTCTCATGGCTTCTCTGCATTTAACCCCCCCCACCCATGGGCTGAGTGTGTGTTGAATCCCCCCTGGAGACAACAGGACAGGTACCACAGATGCATTTGGTGCTTAAAGAAAGAAATTTTATTTCAACTTCATAGGCAGAGGCAGGTGACGAAGCTTTGGTTACAGGATTTCGGTGCTTGCAGACAAACCGAAGGGGTGATGCTGCTGGAAGAGCACAGCTCTGTGGGTACAGTCGCCCTGGGAACGGCTTCAATTGCGGGGACCATGGCCATGGTCGTGGCTGTGGTCATGTCGGTGGCCGTGCTCGTGCTCATGGCCATGCCCGTGGCCATGGCCCCTGCCGTGGGACCTATTGTGGGCATCAATGAATACGAGATTCAGCGTGGTCAGGAACTCGGTGAACTTCAGGCGACCATCGTGGTTGCTGTCTGCTTTGGCATAGAGCTTGCCAATGTAGTCATCAACGGTCGTGTTGGGCTGCAACAGGACAAACATGGGAAAGGGTTCAGGGTCACTCTGCCAGCCTGCAGCTACGGCATGAGGCTTGGCCAGCAAGGATGTGGCTGTTTCAGGAAAAGCCTAGAAAAACCCTCCCTTCCCTTTGGGAAGTTCTCAGTCACCCCCATGCCCCAATGAAATCACCAAACCTGTGATCTCTGGCCAGCGTTAGGAGAGCTGGAGCACGCTTGGCTCTTACCGGCATGGTGTTGTGGAGGAAGGGCTGGGCATCCTTCTTCAGCAGCTCTGAGAACTCCTCTTTGCTCAGATAGTCATCGATGGGGCGCTTCACAGCGTACTGGTGGTAGATGTTGATGATGCACTCCAGGGCGAGCTCCAGGTCAGTTTTCATCTTGCTAGGAAGGGATAGACAACAAAACGTTAACTTCCAGAGGAGGGAGAGGAGGAGGAGGAACATCCTCTCCTCTCCCCCAAGAACTCCCGGCTGCCTTG